CCCCCCCCCCCCCCGTAGCCTAGGCCGGCGAAAACTCGGCATATCGCTCCGTCCCAGCGTGGTACCACTGCTGTAGCGATGCGAGGCCTACGGTCTAACGACTATGGCATGCGTTTACGATAGTACCCTACCCCCCCCCCCCCCCCCCCCCCCCCCCCCCCCCCCCCCCCCCCCCCCCCCCCNGTATGCCACTCAGGCGTGAAAATGTTCACGTTATTCGTTACAGCAGGTTGTGCGTTCGATTCCTCCCTCTCTGGAGTTGTTTTTGCCTGTACAATTTACAATTTGGAGTGGTAAACCGAACAATTGAAAAATATTCCGGAGTGTGCATGCAAGCTTTCGAATTCAGGGTCGGACGACGGAAAGGGACGGGTGAACCCTTGTCGCGATAAAGAACCAAGGCAAACACCACAGAAGGAAATGTGGAGCAGTGTGTGTCGTGTGTTTTCGTCCCATCTATTATGGCGACATTCCCCCCTTTTTCGTGGTGAGACGTGCACTGCACGTGTTTCGTGCATGTAGACTACTACACTTTTCAGTGTATTTTTCGCACAACTACAACTATCAAGGTCACACAGGCGGGGGTAGACACCGGGGTTTTCTGTTTGTTTTTTTTTTGTGCCCCACGTTGCTCCTGCGATGCGGTGCGCTGTGAATGTTTTTTTATCGCAAAAAGAGTCCAGCCGTCCCTGTCCCTCGTCCACGGTGCTTACGTCGAAGTTTGGTACTCAGCTTTTTCGCTTTCACCCGCAAATTTGTTAATTTTCACCCCATGGGGATTCGAACTCGCGACTTTGCCACTATATCATAGCGGTTTCGAGGTTACCACTAGACCACCGGGGCGACCGGTGGTCGCAAACCGAAAAAAACGAGTTGTGTGTCGACTGCCGCCAGAATATGTGGGATGAAAACTCTGACACAGCATTACGTCGGAACCATGTTTAAAGACAGGGGGAGGGCGATGCATGCTTTTTTGCTCGCGCGTCTTAACTGTTGCGGTAAAAAACGAAAACCTGGTCCGTCAACTCCACAAGCGCGTCTCCCCCGCGCCTTTCTTTAAAAGCCAACGGACTACACGATTCGAGGCTTGGGGAGCGTTTTCATAGTAACACACGTGCCTGATCCCTTGGCCCTTTTTCCTTCCTATCGCCGCTTGCTCCGCTCCTTTTTGTGCTCCCCCCTCCCCTCCCCGCGATGATATCGTGTGTGCTGTTTTCTGGTCCGCCGTCTGCCTCTTTTCAAATCGTGTTTCTATCATGGGAAAAATGAAAGCAGCCCCTCACTTCCTGCCGTTCTACCCCACGATCGAGCTGGACACCGGCGCGAAGGTGAAGCAGGTGCCCGACTGGCTGAAGAAGCAAGCCCCGGAGGACGCGGCCACGGGCAAAGAGTACATTGGCCGTCTGATGGGGAAAGTCACGTGAGAAACGGGAAGGAGGGGAGACCCCCCCCCCCCCCCTGGTCGGGCATCCTTCTCTCATTATTTTGAGTTTTTTTTTTCGTTAACAGCAGTGCGTACTAGAAAATATAGATACAACACACAGAAAGACTACCAGTTCAGTTATTGTCATCTATTCACCGCAGATAGGACGTCCTCTTCATGACGTCTGGTTTCGGTGGCGACTGAGCTGATTTTGGGAAATGACCACTCAAGGGCTGGGAATGCGAAGACGTCAAATATGTGTATTCAGGAGCGGGGTGTATGTGTGCGAAGAAGCTCGAAACGTCGCATGCACGCACGTATATACCCCGTTGGAGGAGGCCTGCTACAGCAGCTGCTGAAGTTGTTAGATTTTGACTGCTAGACTGACATGCACTTGTCGATTCTGTCGTGTTTGTTTTAGCACCCAGGAGTGCACAACGTGGTCGTCCCCCCGTCGCTCCCCCGAGAAATCGCTCGCCCATCCACCGGGGACCAGCCCTAACTCTAGTGCTCTCGCCGCCGCCGCCACCTCTCCTCCGTCTGGTTGCATGCAGTTTGAAGGTCGCGTGCTTGAGCGCGGTCCGTACCAAGCTCCTCGCCGCGCACAAGGTCAATTTTGTCAAGATCCAGAGCAGGTGCGTTTTTTTTTCCTGGCCCGCCGTGCCCCCCCCCCTCCGTATGCCCTGTTCTTGGGTGTATGACAACAGCGCGATCTGGTAGACGTGGTCAACAGAATGGTGTTGCACTGCTGGTAACGCGGTGTCCCGGAGAACGAGCTCGTCCGTATCTCTGCTGCCCGAAGTAGGCTGCAGCATTGCCGGCCACAGCAGCAATCGCGTGGTGAATTCCAACAGCAACAGCAAGATTAGCACCCCCCCCCCCTCCGGTGCCGAGCAGATGTTTTGCGTTGTCGCTTTTTGCGCCAACCATTATTATACGAAACCGTATTTCTCGGTTTTCCGCAAAGGGTGTGCGACCGTCAGCTGTCGCGCGACTCGAGCCGAGCAACCACGGAACCCCCTCCCCCCTCCCCCCCGTGCTCTCTCTCTCTCTCTCTCTCCCTCTCTCTCTCTCACTTGCCGAAAAACGCGTGCGTGAGAAAGGCCGTGCTTGGTGGTGCGGACGTGGGACCAGGACGGGGAATTCACGAGCCGCGCGGGAGAGCACGTCCCCGTGTGCCGGCTGCTGGACGCCGTCACGACCGGCCTGGTCACCTCGTGCGCGGTCGTCGCCCCTTCGTCGGGCACTACTATTAGTGCTGCTGGTGGGAAGAGGGTCGGTCATACTGCTGCTGTTGGTGTTGGCACCTCCGCCGCCGCCGCCGCCGCCGCTGCCCCTCCGGCGAATGATGGGTGCGACGGCGGCGATGGTACCGGGGATGTCTCTTCAGCCGTCGCTGCTTCGGAGACGAACGAGGCCGCTGACCTGCTGCAACACGTCTACGCTCTCCAGGTGCGCGAGCAAGCCTGTTTTAGTGTGGGGAATGGGAGGTCTGCTACTGCTTGAGTAGCGCTGCGGCGTGTCTTGGTGTGCGCGTTGTAAGTATGATGACGTGACGCGCTGTGTTTTTGGTCTCGATGGCGGTTGCAGCGGCGCGTTCGGCGCGGGTCGATGGTCGACACTACTGCAGGCACCAAGCCCTTGGGTTGTTGCTGTCATCGTTGCATGTCTTCCTGCTGTCGAGGTTGATGTTGGGTTGTCGGTTATGATGTTGGGTTCTGTCGCCGCTACTACTGCCGTTGCTGCTGTTGTCCGTTCTTTCAGTCTCCGCAGTCGTCCCCGTGGAAGCGGCCGATGCTGAGAGCCCTGAGCACGCACGTGCCCACCGATTACGGGTTGGCCGTCACGTACTTCATCTACACCAGCAGGCTTCTCTTCGAGCTCATCGCGGACCCCGCGATAAGCGGCATGATGAAGAGCCTCGAGCCCGTGGCGCAAGTACGTGGACGGTCGTTACCTTTTGTGTTTGTGCCTTTCCTTTTTTTTGTTGCTGCGGCGTAAAGCGGCGTTGTTGTTTCGGTCCCTTGTTTTTAGAAAATATTCTTTCACTCGCTTGAAAAAGACTAGATATAACCGTTCGAGATGATAGTACCCAATTCGATTCCCGTTCTTGTGGTTCGGTGTCTTGATTGGGTGGGACAGGAAGAGTGTTTCATGGAGGAGTTTCTTGTCGTTTCTCAGTGTGTTTTTGAGGCTGGAACCCGCTTCGCACGACGTCATTTATTGCAGCACCGTTGTGTTATAGTACGTCTAGGGCTGGTTGCTGATGTCTTGGTTGTGTTGTGCTTTTCCGCTCCTTTTCGTGCCGTTGGTGCAAGTGTTCAGGGCGTGTATGATGCCGCCTTCTCGAGACCACCGGTACCCGGAGCTGTGTAGTATTTATTCTGACCACTTTGTCCACAACGACAACCCCACGTCGCTTCAAGCGGCTCACCCTATACCCACCCCACCTCCACCCAAAAAAATAGTAACATCCCAACACAAACACCCCTTCCCCCCCCCCCCCCCCCCCCCCCCCCCCCCCCCCCCCCCCCCC